GTTGCCTTACAATAAAGTAGAATTAGCTAATCTGGTCATGTTTCCTGTGTGGTCCAGCTGGTAAGACTGACTATATCAGTTCTCTCTCAAACCATTGCTTGGAGTAAATTTCATTGATTTGTTCCACAATTCTTCCTATTGTTCTGGGATACAATTTGAAGTTTGGAAGAACAAGGCACCTTCTGTCTTTTTAATCTTGTAAAACTGGGACTGTTTCTGTTGCATCCAATTTATCATACATGTTTTTATTTGTTATGTCTCCATATCATATCTAAGTAAAAGTTTATATATATGGCCTAAGTGATCTTGATTCTTACCAGCATTTCAAATTTTGTTATTTTTCTTAATGTCCCTCTCTCATTTTTGAGGTCAGATTTTATTCTTCCAGCAACTTGCCATGGAATGTTGCGGCCTTCACTAACTACAATTGTTCTTGCTATGTGTTTAATCTGTTAAAAGGATCTGGGAGAATCATGTTTGCATTTGTAATGATATTCTTCTAACCATAGTTATCTCCAAGATAAAAAGCATTTAGAGGAGAGGCTAATTGTGAAATTGTTGGATTTATTATTTTTCTTGTAGACTGCCATATTTTTATCAAGCTTTGCCTTATAATGTATCCTTTCAGAATTTTATCCTCTTTTGTGTCCCTGTATCTATAGCGCCCATTAACTATTGGAAGGTGGGCTCCTTCCAATATTGATGTTCTACTATTCAGAGATTTAATGCACTTTGTTAACCATGACAAACAGCTTGCTCTGTGATACAATTTGAAGTTTGGAAGAACAAGGCAACCTCTGTCTTTTTAATCTTGTAAAATTTTTAAGTTTGACCCTAGGTTTTTGCTCCATATGAATTTGCTAACAATTTCTTGCCATTTGGTTTTTTCTGAAATTAGAATTGGTGCCATTTGAAACAGATAATTTATTTTGGGTAATACATTTATTTTGATAATTGCAACTGAACCTCACCTGGAAGGCTTTAAGTTTTTCCACCTTTTAATACCTGTTTTAATTTCTTGCCATAATTTGACATGCTGTTTTGATATATTTCTTGGTTATTACCTATCAAATGCACACTGTGTTATCTGGCAGCCAGATTCTTTCTGCAAGAAATCTTCTCCTTGTGTTAAATGTTTTGTGATTATTTTGATTTTTTGGATGTTGATTTTGTTCTGGAGAATTCTCCAAAGCTATGGATTGTTTTAATCAACTGTCTTATTGCCCCTTCTGGTTCTGTTATAGTTAATACTATATAACATTTAAGCTTATATTCCTCTCCAAAAATTTTGAGACCAGGTATTTGTTTATCACCTCAAACCTTTTCTGCAAATATTTCTAAAGCAATGATAAATAATAAAAGAATGTGGGTCACATTATTGATATTCTTCAATATTGGAAGATTGTGTAAGATGGGTTCCTCAGATGCTGTTAGAAGTGATTAAAACTTTCAGAGTAGAAATTTGCCAGCAACTGTTGTCACACTATAAGAATGAAAGTGAGGAATTTCTTCACAGCATTGTGATAGTTAACAAAATATGGGCTTATCATTATGACTCAGAAAGGAAGTGTCAGTCCATGGAATATCATCACAAACCTTTGCCAAAAGAAAAAAAATCAAAGCCCCAGGCATCCACACTAGGCCTCACATCTCATGAGCTATCCAAGAGGC